GTGGGATCCAAACCCTCGGCGGGAGCGCCACCGTGCTCCCAAGCAGCGCACTGTAGCAGTGAGCCACCGGGCCGGCCCTTGGTTTTCATTTTAATTAAGCTCTGTCTATAATTTTAATTGTTTCCTCTTATATGAAAATTTCTTAGACATGTAAATGTTAAATGGTTAGACTTTCTTTTTTGATTATGCTATTATCAACTTCAATTTTTAAAGTATTATTGTAGTTAATAGCACTGTCAAATTTCTACTTTTGAGAATTTAGATTTCTTATCATTTCTTAATTAAGTGCTCCATTATCATAACAACTAAATGTGTGCATTTTCTGTTTGTAGTATACAAATTCATGTATTATCAACCTTTAATAGTTTTATTCAAATATTTTATATCACTATTTATATTCTGTCTACTTTGTCACATGCTATAAAACTGTATCATGATATTTTAATGAGGGTATTTAATAATTTTCCTTGTATTTCTAAGAGTTGGCACATCATAGATTTCTCTATATTGTTTAGTGAATAAAGGTTTAGGAATGTTTCATCTTTATGGGCTATCACCATAATGAAATCACTGTAAATAAAGATTGAGTTAAGCATCATTTATATCTCCCCATCCCAAGGAAACAAAATAAAATACAAAGTCATGCCTCTGAAATAGGTCCACTTACATTAGTTGCCACAGAAACGACAGCCATTCCACAAAGAATGTCTTGCCAGACACCTATGCTATGAGCTTTAGAAGCTACAGTTCTCCTGTACTGAGTAGTAAGTTTCCAGGCATCCACTCGGATCTCTACAATATTATTGATGAGAGCTAGAAGAGGAGCTAAAGGAAAAGAGGCTACAAACAGTGTGACAAATCCAAATTGGATAACTGTAGGGGGGAAAAAAAAAAGGGCATAAACTCATTATTGTGAATAGGGACATAGGGAACACTCTGCCCAAATTCTGCCACTTCCTTCATTTTGGAGGCATCTACACCAGTAAATCTATCCAGGCCTCCTTCCGTATGCCCACTTCTTCCTCCTCAAAGGTGACTTACTTGCTTGTTAGAATTGGAAGGAGAAATTGGGCATGCACAGCTTAGTTCTTTCCTTGCTCTTCCTTTTGAGACCTTATTGGCTGAGAAAAGAATCTTTTGTTCTTTGCCTTTTATTATAGACTGAGTTTAGTTTTATGCTAGTTTGGTCTTTACTTTTGTATTGGCATATTAATGGGGTAAGTAAGTTTTTTATCTTGCTAATCCATGTGTTTTTTGAGATCAGAGATGATAACTAATTCATTTGTATGAATGTGCACATGTGCGCGCGCATGCACACACACACACACACATATATATATACACATACACACATAAATTATGTGTGGGCAAAGGA